ATATATATATATATATATATATATTCTGTTAAAAATAATATTTAGAAATAAAACTATTAAATTTATCAAAAATAATATATAGATACTAATTTTGAAGATTTGATTTAAAAATATATATTTGTGGGTCAGAAAAATCGATCCCGATTTTAAAGAATTTCGGGTTAGTAAGATCAATCTCGATTTTAAAGAATTAAAAGAAAAACTAAATTGTTTATGTATGCATATAGTGAAATTTTATTTATAAATATAATATAATTTAATCTATTAGTGAAATTTTAAAATTTTGATCGGTTAATATAATTTATAATATTTTTACTATCTTTTCTGTTTTTTAATTTAAAAATATTATATATTTCGATACGTGATTCTCCCTCTATATATATATATTGTGATTATCAATTTTTAAATATATTTATTTATTGAATATAAAAATTATTCATTTTAAATAACTTTTTACCTAAATATTTTCATTAGCATACATTTTTCTTGCGTATAAGATGAGAGATCGACATTAAAAAATATTTTTATCTCTTCCTATATTTCTAAATCTATTTAGTATAATAAATTATTATATAATTCTTCAAACTAAATATCTTTAGAAAGATATGGTTAAATATATTATATATCTTTGTGTAAATATTTTAGAGAGATTAATAAAAAAGATTATTTTAATCAATCCAAATATTTAATATCTAGATGGATTGTGTATTAAGAATCATATAAAAGAAAATCTATATTACATGTTTATATTTAACTAATCGCATAATATTTCTTACACTAGATATATTTTATAAAATAATTATTTTTGCTGGTAAAAAAATCCACGATTTTAAAGAATTCTTGATTATAAAAATCGGATTTTAAAGAATTAAAAAAAACTAAATTATTTATGTATCTATATAATAAAATTTTATTTATAAATATAATATAATTTTATTTAATAGTAAATTTTTAAAAATTTGACTGGTCAATATAATTTATAATATTTTACTATTTTTAATATTTTCAATTTAAAATATTATGTATTCTGATAAATGATTATATATATAGTATGATGTTCAGTTTTTGAATTTATTTATTTATTAAATACAAAAATTATTATATTTGAATAATTTATATCTACATATATTTGTTGATAATGTAATCCATATATTCAACTTAATGGTATTGAACTGTTGTATACACATGCGGAAGATAACATATCAACCGAAGACATTCATACATGATGATGATGGCATGAGTTACGTAAAAAAATCTACATGGAGTCTATGAGAGTAAAGCTTCAACCAACAAGGAAAGTCCACACAAATTGATTCAGATCAAGACAACTAGAAGACTTGCCATATCTACTACTAATTAAGCGTGAATCAGAAATTCAGAATACAATCAGATTGATGCAGGTGAAATATAGAGGCAAATATATCAAAGCATATTTCCTTATGTTATCTCCTGTATATGTAATTTACCTTTTTATGTTATTTTCCTGCATCACTTCCCATTGTGTGTATATTTCTGAATTTTTATTCTAAACTCTCTAAGTGCATTCTCGATTCATATTAAACCGAGATTGCCACCAACATTGCTGAATTCACCTTCTCAATTAATCTGATTATCTTCATCAACCACATTTGAAAAACTTCTATGTTGAAATATAATTTAGCCTTCTGTGGAACCTACCACATACATATATATATATATATATTATAACTAAAACGAAAAAGTAAGTAAAATATAATAAAACGTCGACAGCAGGATTCGAACCTGCGCAGGCAAAGCCCAACAGATTTCGAGTCTGTCTCCTTAACCACTCGGACATATCGACCTTGTTGAGATATATTACAAGAAAACATTTCGGCATATCGCTCTCAAACTTGCATTTTGATTTCCGTATTGTATTACACAGTAGATGTCGAAAACTACATCTAGAATCAAACCCACCACACACACATATATCTATCTATATATGACAAGAAAAAAGTACAATCGTATTAACAATTATCAAAAACCCTTAGGATGTGACTTGACTGCTTCCCGCCCCCCCGCCCAAAAAAAAAACACTTAATTGATTTGAGGAGGAGAAAGGAAGAAAAAGGACTTTATGAACGCTCCAAAACGCACTCCAGCGTTTGGAGGACACGCCAGTCGCAAACGTAGTTTTAAACAACCACCGCGTCCCAAGATGTCGCACCAAACAAACACCACAAAGCTTCTGTTAACAATAGACACCAAACTTTACGAAATCGGAGTTTAGAAAAATATTATTTCCGACGGAATCAAACGGAAAGGTTCAAGACAAACCTTATGATATGAAAAATAAAAATAAAGATGAAAATCTCACAAGCAAAACCCAACAGCCCGAGTCTTCAAAGTTTCAAGCTTTCCTCTACACAGAAAAAATATACAAATCCACTACCAAAGGTCCAACCCAGAAGCTGTATCACTTATAATAGACGAGAGTTAGCTTAAACCCCGATGAAGGAGCCAAGAGTGAAATATTACACTAGAAACAGCCCTCGTTTCTTTTGCGAGCATTCTCACATACTACCAGCTCTTCAAGAGGTAGGCTTTCCGGGCTTGAATTTCGATATGTCTACGAGATCTCCAAACAGCTTATCCTGGGGATTGTTCTTAGGTTTCATCGGAGGCAGATAAGACGGGGTAGAAGAAGATGATACCTGGTTGGAAGACGGATTTCGCTCGTCCCTGATGGACATACCGTACATTTGTTGGTCCAGATATGGGCTCCCTTGTTGCGGTTGTCCATAGCCGTATCCATATCCGTATCCGCCCATCTGGTTTCCGTATACCGGTTGTTGGCCGTACACTTGAGGAGGCATCATCTGCTGGGGTTGGAACCCTAACCCTAAAGGCTGATTTGTCGGGAAGGGTTGGTTCGGCATTGGTTGCATGTACATACCGCCGCCCATCTGATTGTTTTGAGGTACTTGAGGATATGCCCCGTTGTTAACCGGTTGAGCATGCGTAAGGACGGCCTGGGTCACTTGCATTGGAGGCGAGAATGGACTGCCTGGTCCTGCAGTTAGACTGGCGGAGTCTTGACCCTGAGCTTCCCATGGTGGTGGTGGAAATGCCATACCCTCTTGCCCACCTTTCAAGTTTCAACAGTACAAAAAAATTATTACCCCGAAAAAAACAGGAGATTAATGAGATGTATGGATGTATTGCTCTTATTAAACCAGGTGACTCGGTTAACTGTTAGAGAATTTGGACAGGGGAAACGGGACACTAGCTGGTATTCACATATCACCAAATTAGTCTTAAATGTCTGCTCTCCCTAAGATGCATCAGTTGCCTGGACTTATTTCAAGTCCATCTTAGAGGGAGAAAAAACATTCCTTTTGCAACCATCATCACGTTTACAGAACCATCCGTATTTACTTCAAAATACACTTAAGTTGTGTAATTTGATCTAATAAACAAAAATAGCGGATAGATGCATTACCATAAGCTGGGGAAGATGGTTGCTGTGGTTGTTGCAAGTGTTGAGTCTGCTGGGTCGGATGACCATTCCAGGCGGAAGAGACTCCTTGACTGTACGATGGCTGCTCGAACTGTGAATAACCCATGTTAGGAGCAAATCCATTGGGCTGTAGTCCGCCTTCCGCAGGTTGAGTATTTGGTTGCTGTAGCGACTGAAGGTTCAAAGGATTGGTTTGGGGAGCAGAACTGCTACTTGGGGCAGCAGGGTTCGGGTTACTAGTATTGTCTGAGAACATATCAATAAGGACAAGTGCATTTGAATCAGAAGCAACGGGACTTGCCGGTTGAGGCGCTGTGACAGGAACGAGGGCAAGATCATCGCCGCTGAGGAGATCTATTTTAGAACTGGCTGAAGCTGGAGGAGCTGGACTAGCCGTGGGTGGTGCTGGGAGGGATAACTGGTTTAGAAGCCCAGTACCAGAACTCGATGTGGCTCTGTGAAAAAAAATCCAGATGGTAAATCAGACGCTATTTTATAAGACATCAGTGATTCAGTATTTTAACTAATATTACCAAACTGCATAACTGGACTCCGAAATCTTAGTTCTTTCTTGAATAGAGGCATCCGTAACCCACAATCCAAAACCAAGTAATTTTCTCCAGCCAATGTACCCTTCGAGCACCATCAATTATCTAGGTCATTGGAGAGCATGAACTCAATGTTTGGATTACCTACCCGTTAGCCTGATTACTACTATCACCAGTGTCAATAAGAGGACCATCAACGGCAACGGTGGATTTTCCTGGCTCAGGCTTGGGCTTATGCATTTGAGCAGGAATTCCAGAAGCAATTGCGTCGTACTTGACTAGAACACGCTCCAAGTCATCATTTAATGACAGACCTTGACCTAACAGTGACTCATCCCTAGAAAACCATAGATGTCAGGTATGATAGTAAATATGAAGGGAAGTAAGTAACACATACTGATATTCAGCATATCATTAGAAACCCCAGTCATTTGGTCTCCTCAAATTAAATTATCATGCAAAGTTCATTCCGAAGAACATTTGTTGATATTTACTAAATTACTGAATACTGACACCGAAGGAATTACATCTAAGGCAAAAGCAAGAGCTCTTACGAAGTCGAGTTGACGAGGTGTACTACTCTTTGTTTGTATGTACGACACTGCTCTACGAGGTCAACAATCACCTCTTGTTTAAGCCCCTGAACGAGCCAAAACAAAGAATTATGGTCCCAGATTTGCTCAAGTAGAAAACTAAAATCATGTAATCCAGAGTTGCATTGTAATCAATAGGAAAAGCTTCTCAAACTATAATATAGTTTGCCATACACCCAGTTTTTGCAAACAGAGTAATCTTCCTCTGCAAATAAATGATGTTACCTCCTTGTTTCCCGGATCCAATGCATTCAGCATTTCTGCAAGCACATCCATGATACCTTTTGCATTCTGAATCTCTGACAGACTGCAGAAGATTTTCATTTATGCATATACATTTGATAAACTATAGATGTTGAACAAAGAAAGCAGCAATATTCCCCTCAACTATAAGTCTCAAATGGAATGAACAGACACACACAGTGCCCTAAATTATGTTGCTAAACCTCCTACAACAGGAGTCCGAAGACCTGCTTTGGTGAAAGAACGGGAATCGAGCCTTAAGCATCATCTCTGAGCTTTGCAAGGACTGAAAAGATATTAACTTACTAATCTCTGAAGATAGTAACGAATAAAATATTTGCATGCTTAGTTTAAAGGTAAGCACAGAATGCTTTCTTCTGAAACAAAAAGAAGTTGAAAGGTGTTTAGGCAGCTTAGCCAGATTGGCTCTAAAACAATTATTTCCCTAAATATTGAAGTTAATTGAAACAGACCCAATTGAATATCTCAAACCTATTGCTTATGAGTTTTCAAGTTAAACAGTGAGAATTGCAACACGAGATATACCTCAGCGTTGGAAAATCTGGCTCAGCTGAAGGTTCAGGCATATCATTATGAGGTCCAGGATTGTGAATATTTGGAGGATATGATGACAGAGGCTGCGTTTGGGGTGGTGTGAACACAGGAGCAGACCTTTCGGATCTCTGAGGGAAAACAGCTCCAGCACGCTGAAAGAGACATGGTTTAGCAAATAAAGAGTGCCATACGAAAGCGCTAAGGGTGCCACAAGCATAATCCACTTGGTTATTACTTGTTAGCCAAGAGTGAAATCATACTGAGGTGACTGAACATCTATCATTTGCTACGGTAATCTTCTTAAAAGAAGTCGAACGCTGATCTTCAGCACACTTACCAACAATTCCTGGTATGCTGCATAGTATTGTGGATATCTTGCCCTAGGACCACCAAATGCCTCTTGCCATGTATCGACAAGAACCAAAATCTTCTCTTTGACATGAAAGTCGGGCTATATGCATCCAACATATAACATGAATCAGAAATAGAAAGAGAAAGAGTTAAACGTTGTCATGCAAGACAAATATAACACTCTTACCTTCTTCTTGACTATCCTCACCATCTCATGAAGCACACCCTTCTCAGCTACATGCATATGGACCATGTCACCACAATTCTTCACTATTGTCTCCAGAAGCTACGATAAAACAAATGCATGTTGAGTGAACATAATAATGTCATACCAAAACAAGAGGCAAGAGATGATGCAAATACTATGTACAACACTTCTTCTGACAATTCTCTCTTAGCAGCAAAATAAGTTGTAAAAGACAACGCAAACTGTATTGGGCTAATTAGCTGAGCCAAAGACAACAAAGGATCAAGTTCAATCCATGTAAAGTCTCACGTGCGTCCTGAAGCAGACACCTAATCACTAACATAAAAACCCTCTCATATCAGCTTTCAGTGACAAAGAAATGACTATCAAAAAGCATCACCATTAAACCAAAATGTAAAATCTCCTCATTTCTTCAGTTGTATTATGATAGTAGGTGAACATCAGAAAACCGGGAACAAAAATAACTAAAACAAAAAATCATTGTGTCAGAGCTCACTGTTAAGGCAAGAAGTTGAACTTTCGGATTCTTGCTGCCAATTCGTTTCTTTATGCCTTTCACCACATCTTTTGCTTGCCTGAAACACAGTAGACAATTTCAGGAGAGAATTAGGAAATGTTCCCTGCTTTTATAGTACAACCCAAAAATGATCACTAAGTCTACATTCCATGAACTAGTAAGTAGTAACTACTCAAAGTCAGATCAAAATTTCAACAAATCACATATTGAATGTATAACCTAAACAAACCATTTTGCACTTGCTATAGTACTATACAAAACATTCACCGCATGACTTAATGTTTGTTTCAAGCAAAGACCTTGCATTGTCCATCAACACATACACTCAAAGAACATATCACATGATATCTCGCCTTTTAACCTATTTCGATATTTGGGTAAATGGAAAGAAACATGGATAGCAATCGCCCGTATCTGCATCCATGGGAAAACGAAATTCGATTTCGAATTTCAATCAAATAGCAACTCTTCAACTGAACCAACCCAACCAGGCTTACAGAGATATTACAGATTTTCTCAGCAACCAAACAAGAAACCCAGGGATCGGAGAAAGTTCACGGCCAAAAAAATCGCAAGTTAAACAGAGAAAGAAACGGATATCAGAATCCGTCGACTTACACTGGATCGTTATTGAGCATGTCACAGATCTCGAGGTTCATAGCCCAATCTGGACCGATCAGCATGTCGCTCGTCGCTCTCTCTACCATAGCGTTCACCATCTTCGCTTCGACCGGAAAAACAAACCTCCGATGGATTCTCAGCCGATGAAATCGCTTCTCCGGCGAAATCTTTGGCTGTTAGATCACGCGAGAGAAGACGCCGGCGAAGAAATCTCGCTCAGAGAATCACGCCTCTTTCTCTCTCTAAACTAGTACCAATCGAACAGCATTATTTTTTATTTATTTTCATATAATTTCTAATTCTCTCTTTTAAATTTTCGGTTTTTTTATCCCTTTTTTTCTCTGTTTAGATCATTTTCCCACTTTAGTCGAATTATATTATAAAGCCTATGGGATTTCGCCACCTGTACATCTAGTTGCATTCGATGCTTCTCTTTTTCATCGGACCGTTGGTTTGGCCGACCTCTGAATCCAACGGTCGGGAATCGTTGTCTTTTATGCCAACGATGAGATGGGATATATCCAATCTACCCTTTGACCGCTGCGAGCACTTCTATATCTACCCTTGAAACTCTAAATTAAAAAAAAAATGGGTAGAAGTTAGGAAAAGACCAATTATACCCTGAAATTTTAATCAAAAGGCGAAAAAACCAAATTAAAATTTAAATTAAAAAAATAACGGTTCTCTCTCTTTCTTCAGCCCACGTTTTCTCTCTCTCTCTCCTCACTCTCGCCATTTTCCTCTCTCTCCTCACTGTCTACATCTCCTCCGTCTGGCTTTCGAAACCGCCGGTTTTGTGGCAAAAAACCGTCGATTTAAGCCGCGATTTTCCTCTCATAAGTCTCTGTCTTTACGAGAATCGGTCTCGTTCGAAGATGCTGACGAAGATGAGTGAACCACTGACGTAGAAGCCATTTTCTTCCTTCTTTGTGCTTCGAATCTGAGGAGAGTAAAGACAGAGACTTATGAGAGGAAAATCGCGGCTTCTCATGTGACCTATTGTCTTGGTACCACGTGACCAATTCTCATGTGACCTATTGCCCTGGTACCATGTGACCTATTGTCCTGTGAACTATGACCAAGTCACCTATCACCAATCGAACCGATCCTGTGACCTAATTTACATCGAACCGTATCACCTATATCATTGTGACCCAAATCAACATATCATTCATCAACCAAACATCGAACCATACATCCCGTCACCTATATCACTGTGACCCAAATCAACAAATCATTTCGATTTTAACCACTTCAAACCAAAGATTATAATGTTATCCCTAAAATTTCAAATACGAAATGGTACTATTTCACATTGTCACAGGTCACATGATCTGATGTATTTTATTGTTGTGCAGTTGTCGTTTATGTACAAAATGAAAGACATTCAGTTCTCTCCTAAGATAAATACCAAGTGTTACCCGTCGGAGACAATAAAAAAACTGAAAGACTTGTTAAGCCCTGAAGAATGGAGGTATTTCAGTCATGAGTCGCAGTTTCAGCATTTGTTTCACATGCAATTTGATGGCACGCTGAAGATGGCTCCAGCAGCATTCCTGATAAACCATTGTGTCAATGCGGAGGATGAAAATGAATTATGGTTTGTTCTAAATGGTGTGCCCATTAGATACTCCATCGTTGAACACGCTCTCATATCCGGATTGAAATGCGGTGAGTATCCGGTTGGATGGGAATATATAAGGAAAAGCCAGTTTAGAGTGAAGACTTTTGGAAATCGAAAGGTATCTAAGGAGAGTGTAATAAGACATCTCGAGAAGACACCAACTCAAAGGGCTGCTGATAGGAAGAA